TGTTTTCAGTTTTGTTCATAAACTGCTGATATGTTTTAAGCCTTTAACGGCAGCCTGTTAAACCCACAGGTGAACTATGAACATTAAGCTGCTGTAATAAAATCCGCTTCTCAAGAAGTTATGATCTTGCATCAAGAGCGTAGATTTTTATATATAATAATAAGATATATTTTCTATTATATTTAAAGTGCATTAGTTCTGCCCTCAGCTAATGCAGTGCAGTATTTTGACTTCAGACTTCAGTCACAGGAAGCTTTAATAAAAACAGGAGATACACTGGAACCATTCCACTGGGATGTGAAAACATGAGTGGACAGGATGAGCAAATAATCTCAACGTGGCAAACATTTCATTTCACTTTATAGCCTGTTCCTTCCACAACACCTACTGTCATATTATTAAGCAGGTTTTTGTAACCGCAGTTGGATTCTCTGATCGCCACAGTTGTTTTTCCTCCCCAACTCCTTATGAATTCTTCTCCACACATCTTCCCTGGACTTCATTTTCCACTGAGGTCAAGGAAAAGTGATTTGGAAAATACACAGGGGTAAAATTTTTCAGAAGCCCAGTAATCTCTGTTTCGGTCTGAACACAGTGGATGAGAGAAATGATTTCCAATCTTTCACTAGAAAGAATAACATATGTACAGAAAGGTAAACATTTTTAAAAAATGTTTTTGGGGCTTTTTTGAAGTTTTGTAGGAGATGTGAATTTAACAGGAAGTCAAGCATACATGCATTTTTTTGATTTGCTGCCCTTTTTTCTGAGTGGACTTTTTCTTTTGAGAAAGTGGATTGCCATGTGTGAACTATCAGGGATAGATGGTTGTTGCTTTTTGATTGTTTGTTTTATCACTGTTGTTTAAAATAAAAACATCTGTGGAAAGAAAAAGGCGGCATAATTATTTTTACTCACCTGAACCGATTCTTTCAAGGTGCCAAACAATGGGGAAAGAATGTCTAAATAAAAGGGAAAAAAGTTTGGATTATAAGTTAAAGCCAAACCATTAAGCCTGAGGAGGTTGCAGCAGAGACATGTCCAAGGGGAAATCACAAAAACAGGGGAAGTGAAACTAAAACCAAGATTTCAAGAGCTGAGCCGCAAATGGCAAATATAACTGCCAGTTTCCCTTTTTTGTTGTTTTTCTTTGCTCGTAACATTGTTTGTTGTGCCTTTGACAAAGAATTTGTCACTTAGCAGATGGCTGCTCTCTTAGGTCCAGAATTGAATTCAAAATCCTGCTCCTCACATACAAGGTCTTAAATAATCAGGCCCCATCTTATCTTAATGACCTTGTAGTACCATATTACCCTATTAGAGCACTTCGCTCCTGCTCTGCAGGCCTACTTGTTGTTCCTAGAGTATTTAAAAGTAGAATGGGAGGGAGAGCCTTCAGTTTTCAGGCCCCTCTTCTGTGGAACCAGCTTCCAGTTTGGATTCGGGAGACAGACACTATCTCTACTTTTAAGATTAGGCTTAAAACTTTCCTTTTTGCTAAAGCATATAGTTAGGGCTGGACCAGGTGACCCTGAATCCTCCCTTAGTTATGCTGCAATAGATGTAGGCTGCCGGGGGATTCCCATGATGCATTGAGTTTTTCCTTTCCAGTCACCTTTCTCACTCACTATGTGTTAATAGACCTCTCTGTATTGAATCATATCTGTTATTAATCTCTGTCTCTCTTCCACAGCATGTCTTTTATCCTGTCTTCCTTCTCTCACCCCAACCGGTCGCAGCAGATGGCTCCGCCCCTCCCTGAGCCTGGTTCTGCCGGAGGTTTCTTCCTGTTAAAAGGGAGTTTTTCCTTCCCACTGTCGCCAAAGTGCTTGCTCATAGGGGGTCATATGATTGTTGGGCTTTTCTCTGTATCTATGAAGCGCCTTGAGGCGACTTTTGTTGTGATTTGGCGCTATATAAATAAAATTGAATTGAATTGAATTGAATTAGGTCTGCCAGATGTTGCTTCCTTTTAAAAAGGGAAGATGTTTTATCTCCCTGATGTTTGCAAATGACTGCTGAAATAGGATAACTAGACTTCTCGCTACATTACTCTAAGGTCTTCACCACAAAGGATAAAGCGCTTTAAAATGGTCATTTTTGTGAATTGGTACAATAGTTGTACGAGACAATGGTTTTTAATTTTTCCTATTTCCATTTGATATGTATATGAAAACAATACCGTCTCACCATGGTAAAGAAAGGTTTAAAAGGTTATTGCATCCACTCCTAAACTTTTTCAAATAAATCCATAACTGTCTGAGTAAACCTGCTAACAAGCAGAGAGGAAAAACAAACCAATCACATAAGCTCTTTGGTGAAGGTAATAAAATGAAATAAAAAAAACTTTCCCTGCTAGTTTGAAAGCTCTAACTGGTAACCTGTCTCTTCACCAGTGTCTGAAGCTTTGTTCTTTCTAAACTCACCCCGGATATGCAGAGCGCCATTGTTGTACTTCTTTTCCAGTCCTGTGACTTTGTTGAGGTAAAACCTGTAGGTGTCATTTAGTGGAGGAAGACAGGACTCAAAGAAGTCATCGGGCTCATCGATGTAGTAAAGTCGGCCGTGAGGACTTGGAGGACGCTCGCTCTCCACCTTTGGCTTCTTTGTTTTGGGGTTTGGAGGCTCCTTCTTTGGCAAGTCACTCAAACTCTTTCCCTTCACCTCTCCATCGTCTTCATCACTATCAGAGAGAGCCCAGCCCGTGCTATCTGACGCCACTTTCTTGCGTTTTCCAGCCAGTGAAGGGCTGGTTTCATACTTCACTGGGTTTAACTGGCTCTTAGCGGCTGACTGCCTGGCTTCTGAGCCAACAGCGAGAGAGGACACCGGTGGTTTGGCTGGCTCTGGTTTCACCTCCACGGGTGGTGATGGAGTAGCAGATCGGTAGGAACTGTGACTGGACTCAGCGGGTTGACGGGAACCAGATGTTGCAGTCCCTGAAGGAGGAAGAGCCTCATCGTCATCATCATCACTGCTGGAGATGGTCCACTTGCCGTGCTGACTGTCCTGAGACATGCCTGAATCATAAAAACAGAGAAGCCAAGTCTATGTCACACACAGAGACACAAATAGCTGAAACATCCACTTTGAGCTTCCATTATAAACATATAATCTATGAAATTGGCAGTAATTATACAATTTCAAGTGAAGCTTAAAGAAATTTAGAAATCTAGTGGGAATTATTACTGAAAATGACAATGGTTTGCAACTGAGCAAAAGTCTTTATTTTGCCTGATCTACACTACTGGGCAAAATTCTTGAGCCATCCCTCATTTCTTTATATTTTGCTTCCAATGGAGCCAAATTCCCTTGTAATTTTTTTTTACAAATTGAGCAATACTAGGTGTTTTAAAGTTTTTCTTTTTCACTCTTCTTCATCCAGTCTTTGCACCTGACCATGTTTAGAGGAATGGTTAAGCCACTGATCCATGAGTCACTTAATCACATAAGAGCACATAATTTAAGGAATCACAAACAACTTAGCAGTAGAACAAATATTAAACTGTATCTTTCAGCACTTTGTTACTGACACCTATTCATAAAAACACAGAATTTACTCCCATTTCTTTAGTTTAATCTATAGAAAATGCCAACGATAGCAGCTTGACTGGCATTAAATAGTATTATTTCATGAACAAGAACTATTCCAAAGAACTATTACCCAAAAACCTGGGATATCTCAGCATAGTGTGCAGAGTGTTCTTTAAGAAAAATGAGGAAACTGGACAAGGGGAGGATAAAAGAAGAAGTAGCAGGTCTATAATTCTATTTGCAGTAGACGAACAGTATCTAAAAATAAATCCCTTACAAAAAAACCCAGGAAAAACAGAAAAAGGCCAGACACAGGCCCCGAGAAATGTATCTGGACCCTCGGGTGATCCATCTATTCACTGTGTTCACTCAAGCCTTATCATAAATGGTCTCAGCCTAAGGGTGGCTGTCACGAAGCCATTCTTGAGGAAGGCAAATTGGAAGAAAAAAAAAATCAGTGGCAACAGGTCTGTGTAGAGAAGAAGTCAGTGAGTATCTACAGCCATCTGTAAAACACAGTGGAGGCTCTGCAGTGGTTTGAGGCAGCATTTCAGTAGTGTCGGGTATCTTGTCAACACGGATGGAATTATGAACGGAGAAAAATACAAAAATACAAATCCAGCATGCAATACCATCTGGAAATCATCTGATTGACATCAGCTTCTTTTTGTTC